GACGAACCCATGTAGCCGGTTCGGGCTGGGCCCGGCGGGGCCCCATGGGCTAAGGCCTGGCCACCAGGCACTCGTCCACGGGCCCCAACCCCAGGCCTGGCTCCAGGGCGGGGCCCCGGTGTCCCTCCGGGCCGGGTACTCGGGTTCTTGTTAGTACTCGTCATAAGGATCTTCTGAACCGTTCTTCGTCTGGCCCTTCACCTAGGACCAATCTGCCTTGGGAGACCCTACCAGGGGCAAAATGCCCCCGACAACATAACTCCTAGGGTCATTAGGGCTCTCAAACTCCTCCACCACGGTAAGGTGACGGTTCAAGGAGGAGCTCCGTATACATTAAAAGTGTAAAGGTGTTGATACATAACAAGGGGACTGGACTGTAGGTGTACAGTAATCTACAGTTGTATTTAGTCTCTGTTTTTACCCTCTCTTGTCTTAAATAGCAGTAACTTGAGATTTGTGCTAAAATGCTGGATCACTAAGATTTATCCTGAACTATAGTTGTACTGTATTTGTGTGAACAGCACTTCACAGCTTTAGTATTATCACTGAACAATGTGAGGTAGATGTTAAAAGACTTTCTGATCTCTCAAACAACAGGTTTCACAGTGAAGAATGGAAGATTCCTTCATTAACATCACCTCACAGAACAGAAGCTACGATGACAGTGACTATGATTATGACTATGCTGATTATTATGATAATGAACAAAAAATCATGGATGTGTTGACATGCATTATCATTTGTATCGGCCTTCCTTTGACCCTAGTGGCCATCCATGGAGTCTGTTCTCTGGTGAGTACATGATGACTGAGATTTATTTATTTTTTAGCCATTATTTGTTGCATTGTTTCTTTCCCCACCAAAAAATTCAAAAAAACGTGTGAAATTCAATCCAACAATCAATCAGACTTTATTTGTACAGCACTTTTCAGAAAGACATAAAACCTGTTAATCTACATGTTTCCTCCTGTTCTTTCCACAGCATGTGTTTGTGTCATATCTGATATTTCTGACAGCACCCATGAGAGTTTGATGAGAATATGCATACATGGTTCTGACTGCAATTGTTGGCAGAGCAAGATGACAACGTGTCATCAGCAAAGATCATGATTTTTTCTACCACTGTTTTCCTGCAGGTCAGAAACAATCACACGGCACCAATCTTCATCATCAACCTTCTGATTTGTGACCTCATTCAACTCAGCTGCATGATCGTTGAAGTGGTACTACCTGAGGATTCGATCATCACAACAATCTTCCTCTCTATTTACTCTTTTGGTCTGATAGCGAGTGTTGGCTTCATGGTGTGTGTCGCCATGGAAAGGTAGCTATCAGTTTATTCAGTATTTGTGTAGCTACATGTCTGACCTTTTTATATATGTATACCGTATATAGTGTTTGTATTATACATTATATAATTCAAAAGCTCTACAAAGAATCTGTGTGTCTATGTTGTATCACAGGTATCTGGTCATCGCCTGGCCGCTGTGGTACCACTTCAGACGAACCATCAAGACCTCTGTAGTGGTCTGTGTTGTGGTCTGGACCCTTGCTCTTAGCTTCCTCCTCTGTGACCATTTCGATATTTTATTTGTCGATATCATCTTTGGCATTTTCCTCCTCCTTCCCTTCCCTCTGTTCATATTCTTCCTGCGTGGGACCGTTAAAGCCCTGTCTGCAGCCATTAGTGTCCCTGCTGATGAAAAACGACGAATTGTTGCAGTTTTGATTCTGGTTCTACTTATTTACACACTGTTGTTCCTGCCCTCCATCATTTGGTTCCTTGTAGAAGAGGTCAAAGATGACGATGCCCTCAGTCTTGTGTCTTTCATGTTTGTAAAGTTCAGTCCTCTTGCAGACGTGTTCCTGTATGTTTTCAGTAGGAAAGGAGCTGTAGACAAGCTGTTGGCCTCTCTGTGTCGTTGCAGGATGGACAGCGATGATAGCAACAGATCAACAACATGAATAATGACAACTTATACACAGTCGCTCCATGCAGGCAGAGAAAGAAAGAAAAACAAGAAGAAATGGAGGAAATAGAGACAAGACAGTTTCTGTCGTCTTCTCACATGATTTCCTACAAGACATCTAACTGTAGGTTCACTTGCTGCGGTGCACTGTGAAAGCTTCAAGACATGTATATAAAATGTTCTATAAAAAGTTTATGTATATCATTATTACACTTTAATCACAAAAACAAACCTTATATTATTTTAATAGCTGAGATAATCAGAACATACTATGTTTATCTGTATTCAATACCATATACAAATACATATGTCTGTGTGTGTTTGATATGAAATTGTACATTTTCTTTAAATTGAATTAAAAATCTGTTTCTAGATAAAAAAAAAATAACTGACTCGTTTAATTAAAACCTGACACATAAAGTTGAAACAGTTTCTGTTGTATAAGAAATCTCAACTACCTGTGACAGTGATATGAAAAGCAGCGCTGTGAATGATGTGCAGTTAAGATTTCATTTGGTGTCAAGACTTACTTTGATGTTTTCAATAGTAATTTGACTAAAGTAAAATTGTGCAAAATAGCTTTACAATGTATGATATGGAACTGTGTTCAAAAGATGTTCAAAAAGTAAAGAAAGAAATGATAAAAATGTTTTAAAAATATGTTTTAACAAATTAAGACATGTGGTGTACCAAAAGAAAGGGTGGGGGTGTGACCAACTAGATCATATGTGTCAAACTCAAGGCCCGCGGGCCAAATGTGGCCCGCCACGTCATTTTATGTGGCCCGCGAGAGCTTAAAAGGTCTGATTATCTTATAATAAATAAGTCAAAAGGGTGCATTGACCATAAACTACATTTCCCATAATGCATGCCGATCATGTTACCCGTGAAGTGACGGCATCCCGCCACTAGATTGCAGTGTTTCCACATCAGTGCCATTTTCCGAATTAAGAAATACAAACAATGATCCCAAAATGTCCAGGAAGAGAAAAATTGATGCAGATGGAAGGCTGTTTCAAGAAAGATGGGAAGGCGAATATATGTTTGTGCTGAGGCTCACAGACTTGGAAAGCCTCTGTTTTAGAGGACAAGTTAATATCAAATAATATGTTTGTACAAATCCGTCTGTTACTTCAGCACCAAGGACAGCGTCATGGTGTCATCAGTACTCAGCACAGTGAGGTTGTGACACCTACTGGAACATGAGCTCATACACATGTCTATGAATAACCTGGAAAAATCTGTCAAATTATCAGAAGAGAAGAGTCTTCAAGAACAACTATTGAACAACTATTAAAACGTTAATGAGAGAACAATAAAAGAAAACAAACCCTAAAGACTTGTTAAGATTCTCTCTGTGTTAAACATGTAAATAATATCTGGAGTCTTTCTGTGAAGAAGAGAAGAAGAGATACTTAATTTTTTTCTGTACCTACATGCAGGGCAGATATTCTGGATATCACAGAACAGTATTGTATGTTCAGGATGATTCAGAATATGATACTGGAAATACAGATAGCTACCTTTCCAGCGCGACACACATCCTGAAGCAAAGACCGGCCATCACACCACAGAAGAAAAAAACAGAAGAGACATATAAACAACATACAGTGGGCAATTAAATTAATAAACAATATTACATAATTATCCTATGTGCCACACAGGCATCAAAGTAATTACTTAATTTTAATTCTTCAAATCATTCACAGAGAGACAGACACATGAATATGAGTCATTCTTTACGTACCAGGCAAAACAGACAACAGAAGACCAGTAGAGTTAAGGGAATGCCGATGTTACGTCAGAGACATTAGTGGGGTATTCAAACGTCATCTTACGGCTGGTTTCCTGTGAAACAAGTTCCCATAAATAAAGTACACACACCATGTAAGACATCACACACAGAGGAACAGACACTGTTTTTTGGAGCCCCCTGTTTGAACTGGGCTTTAATGTGGAATTATGGATGAGCAAGATGAAGAGGAGGCAAAATCTGGGTGTGAAAATGTCCAAACAATATTTCAAAGTTAAGAGCTCCGACTCTGCTGCATAAATAGTCTTGTGAGATCCAGTGGATATTGTACCCTGTGCTTTTAAATTATAACAATATTGACGTTAAATGACAGGGGAAAATTTAAATAAAGACACAATACTTTGTGATTTAAATGGATTCAGCTCTGATCTACAACTTGGAAACAGGCAGGCTGAAGCTGCTGAGTGGATGTACAGTGTGTGGGTTACAACTTGAGACTATATTTGTTTACATTTTGAAAATTAACTAAACTGAATTATCTTTTATTAGCTCATTTTTGCTCTGCACCTTTGGGTGTACATACAACTGTCAGTGAATTACAATGAAACTACTACGAAACCGTTCTGGGACATAATTATGAGATCTTTCCTCCTAATGATGAGATCTGGATCTCAGAATTACATTACATAATTACAGTTCTTCTGTGAAACCGACACTGATTTGAGACAGCCAAGGGTATAGAGATTAACACAGCATGTCCAGCTGTTTTAACTACCATTAACTTTTTATTCCTACTTGTCCTTCTCAAGCCATCCCCGACACTGAAGCTATACACGCTGGGTTTCATCTCATTTTTTAAAAATTGCATAAAAAACAAAAACCAACTTACCTGCCTCAGAACGACTTCCTGTTGATGACATCACACGTCACCGCTCAGACAGTTCGTTCTCTGTAGGATCCCATGTTGCGTGCACACAAACGCACACACACAAGTTCACATCTATTTCCTTTACTCTCAGCCAAAGTGCACCTTGTCTATCTATCTATCTATCTATTGAAGTTCCACATGCTTTTATGTTTGTATTTTTACTTCACATTCACTGAATAAGGACAAAATTATAATTCATCATCCACAAAAAAGTCAAACTGCTCATGGTGAAAAGAAAAGAAAAGCAGACAACCAACCTCAGTGGGATTCCTCCTGTGGCAACTAAAGATGCCTGAACAAAAATCTATTGAGTCATGCTAGACAAAATGAAAACGCAAAACCACTTAAATGAAAAATAATAAACAAATTGAATTGAATTTATTATTTGCACATTGAAAACAAAAGAATATGAATATAAACTGACATGCACATTACAAATTCTTACATTTAGATATTTGTCAGACGCTTTTATCCAAAGTGACTTACAAGTGAGGGTGTAACTACTACATCTATTTAATAAGTGCAAAGACATCAAGTAAATAAGTGCAGTGAAAGTGCAAAGTCAGAGCTAGTTAGGAATGTTAGAGCTGTTAGGAGAGGAGCTGCTCTCTGAAGAGATGAGTCTTCAAGAGACTGTTCATGATGCAGAAGATCGCTCCTGCTCTGACAGTGTTTGGTAGTTTGTTCCACCATCAGGGAACCTCAGACCAGAACAGTCTGGACTGAGACCGTCTTGTGTGCAGGGATGGTGATGACGGACGACGTTCCCTGGAGGAACGCAGTGGTTGAGGAGGGGCATTAAGCTGATTGAGTTCAAGTGGATGGAGCAGAGTCAGAAGTCTCTCTGAAGGCAGCATTAGAGACGTGAATCTGATTCAGGCGGCCATGGGTAGCCAGTGGATGTTGACGAGCAGAGGAGTGACTTGTTACTTTTCGGGCTGATTGAAGACCAGACGGACTGTTATCTATTCGGGTTTCACTGTGAATGAAGGGAGGTGAGGTGAGAGAGAACCATGGCCTGGACTAAGGTGGGTGGAGTGCTGAGACTTGTTAAGATTCTCTCTGTGTTAAACATGTAAATAATATCTGGAGTCTTTCTGTAATTATTATTTTCTATGTAATTCATTTTCAGTGTCCAACAGTCAACATCATAAACGCTTCCTTTTTTCTGTCAGGTGTCCACATGCAAGTTTCATCTGTTAAAGATGCTGCCTTGCTTTAAATTTTTCTGTGCCTACATGCACCCACCTGTCTACATCCTACATCAGTCACACTTGTGATTCTCCACTATCATCTGCTGCAACGTCGTCCATCCTGCAGCAGCACAGGCGCGCCAGCAACCTGTCAACGGGCCCTTCCCGCATGAGAACAACCAGAATCAAATCCGGAAAAGCACTGAGCTGAATCAGGGGCAGAACGACCCCTGGGAATTCAAAGGGGTTTGGAAACATTACAATCATAATAATGATTGAAGGAAGGATCAGCAGAGTGTAATTAACCAGCAACAGAACCAAAGCTCCAACGGTTCTTCGTTTTTCCTCAGCGGGCACAGAGGTGGCAGCAGGCAGCGCTCTGAGGGTCAAAGCCAGACAGACGATGAACAGGGGGAAAGGTACGAGGGTGAGGTAGGGGAGGAAAAAAAAACGCACAAAGTATAGGCCAAAAAAAATAATGATAAAACAAAGGACCCAGATCATGATACACACAAACACAGAAATCCCAGCTCGTCTGATGCAGTTCTGTTCTGGGAAGGCGATGACCATGTACCTGCAAGAAAAGATGAGACAGATATTCTGGATTATCACAGAACAGTATTATATATTCAGGATGATTCACAATATGATACTGGAAATACAGACAGCTACCTTTCCAGCGCGACACACATCTTGAAGCAGAGACTGGTCGTCATACCGCAGAAGAAACCAAATGTAGAGATTATTGGGATTATCGGGATTTTGCTATTTCCAGGAAAAGAGAGGATCCAGATGCACAAGAAGCAGATTTGAATCAGATTGGAGATGAGGAGGTTTGCGACATAGGTGATGGGGAGTCGATCCTTTCGAGGCTGCAGGAAACATTCATGAAAAAGATAAGTTTCTAACACATTCTAACTTTAACTCTTTGTTTTCTGTGTAATTATTTTATTACTGTCCCATCTCAGGAAGCACTTGATGCTTGTAATGTCTTTGTATTTTCAGGACTCGAGGCTGCATTTCTTGAATAAAAGGTGCCGTTCAAATACAGTTCATTATCATAAGAATTTACATTAACAGAGCAGTAAACATGCGACATTGTCCGAAAGTCATTGGCTGAAACAATAAAAATCTTTACATCAAATGTTGTGGAGATACCAATAAGCAGCATATTATATTAGTTTAAAGGACACTGACTGGACTTGATCACCTCCAGCTTCATATTTAACAGACAAACATAACAGTGGTATCGGTCTTCACATCTACATCTCAGAAAACTGTCAAACTATTCCTTTAATACTTTTACAAAAAAAGCTCAGATGTATCTGAAAGGTCTAAAATTAGAATTACTGATTTTGTGCGCGGGCATCAAATTAATGACTTCGTGTTTTAATCCTTCAACTCAGTCACAGACAGACAGACACATAAATATGAGTCATTATTCACGTACCAGGCAGAACAGCCAACAGAGGACCAGTAGAGTAAAGGGAAGGCCAGCGCCCACGTCTATCCAGAACAGCACCTGAGTGGCAACATCGTGGCTGTCGAGCTGCATCTTATCGCTGGTTTTTCCTGTGTGGAGGGAAAAGCTGTGAGACAAATCCCTGTTAATGAAGGAAAACCGAAAGGCCATACTAACATACTTATTTCATCCCGTTATGTGAAGATAACAGAGCTCTTAATCCCGAGATAACGAGAAACTACCTGGAGAAAACTTCGGTAAAGTTGTAAAATAAATTCTGGGATATGAACTTCCCGGCTCAATAAGTAATAACGGTGAACGATGGTGTAATAACAGTGTAGTAACAGAGACGACGCCTCTTTCCTCCCGTGTTAACGCAGACAACGAGCTACAACCTCATATTCAAGATCAAGTGGATATTGTATCCTGCGCTTTTAATTTATAACATTACTGACATTAAATGAGAGGAAATATATAAAGACATTACTTTTAATACCTTTTAATGGCTCCGTCAGTGAATTACTATGAAACTTAATAAATCTTAAAACACCTGATGATTCTCAGGCAAGTTCAGCAGCGTAATTATTTCATCTTTCCTCCTAATTACTTGATCTCATAATCACACACATTTATTTTAGACGCATTTCCAGCTGTTTTAATACAGTTACGTTTTAATTTCTACTTGTTCTTGTTGTTTTTCAAGCTTCTCCAAAGCTGAAGCTGTAAACACTGAGTTTTAACACATTCAAAGACATTTAAAAACATTAGTATTAAAAAAGAATCAAAATAAAATAACATAAAAACCTCTACGAACCTGAGCGTCTGTTCCCGTAACTGAAACTACACAACTCTGTGAATCCCGGAGTTGTGTACACACCAGGCTCACCCCGCCCCTCCTGCTGCTGCTTCTTCTTCTGCTGCTTCTAACGCGTTTTACTTGGCATCCAAAGTGTCTCATTACTACCACCTACAGTTGACTCCCCCTCACTATTATAAGATACAGGCTATATATTCATTTTAAGTGCGTTTTTCCAGCGCAGCCCCTCCCCCCTCTGATCATTTATTATCAACCTATCAACGGTTTCTTTTTTTAACTGCTTCCTTTGCCAGTTTATCTGCTCTCTTATTTCCCAGGATACCTGAATGGTGCAGGAACGCAAGTGAATGAGATTTTTTTTCCCCCGTTTAATTATTCTTGAATTAGCAACCAATATTTCATAAAGCAAATACTTAACCACGTTTCATCTTCTCCAGGTGCAATCTTTTATTTTTGTATATTTACTTTACATTCACTGAATAATAACAAATATCACAAT